TTTGCCATCAGTAAACTGATTCTGGCACCTAGTAAATATTCAACAAATACAGTTTTCCTACCCAGCTCTCCGCTCTCCCTGTGTTTTGGTGTTTTCTAATACTGCATAGCAAACCATCACAAACGTATGGATCAAACATTAACTTTGCTCAGCCTGGAAGCAGCCTCTTCCTTGTAAAATCCTCTCTCCCGTGTGTGGCTGGACTTAGCGATTTGCTTCCAAGGATTAGAATGTGGCAAAGGGCTGGAAGTCACCTCTGTGATGAGGTGGTACGATGGTGACTCCCATCTTGCTGCCGCTTTCACTCGGTTGCCTTCTTGGTTTGCATGAAGTAAGCTGCCATATGATGTTAAAGGAAGCACTTGTGACAAGGAACTGAAGGCGATACCCCAACAGGCTTCAAGGAACTGAATCCTGCCAGCAACCATGGGAGTGAGGGCAGCCTTCCCAGTGGCACCTGAGACAGAGCCCCACCAACACCTTGATTCCCTCTCTGGAAAGACCCTGACTCAGAGGACCCGGCTAAGCCAGGCCCAAATTCCTGACCCACAGAGGCTGTGGAAAAATGAGTGTTTCAAGCCACAAAATTATGGGGTGATTTGGAGTAATAGATAACTAATATCTCAGGAATCTGTAATTTGGGGAGGACTCATCGTGGGGAAGCTCCTCTCTTGGGCTTGTCAGCTGGGTGGGTGCAGGAGCTGGGAACTGAAATCCTGTGATGGTTCCCTTCTCCCTTCTTCACTTGTCTACCAGTTGATGCTGGCCATGGGCTGCGACCTTAGCTCCTCGTTGGCTGGAACACACTTATGTGGTCTCTCCATGAGGCCTGGACTTCCTCATCACAAGAAGGCTGGGTCCCAAGGGAGGAGAGGAAGGAGGGAGGGAGGGAGGGAGGGAGAGAGGGAGAAGGAAGGAGAGAAATAGTGAGCTTGGTGCACCAGATCAGCGATAAGAAACATAAACCCAGATGGATGAGTGGGATAAAAGTATGGAAGAGGAAAAGAATAAAAAGCATAAAAAGTAAGAAAGCAATGACCCAATGTCACCCAGAATGAGGAAGTGGAGTGTAAACTAGGTTTAAAAAAACATCTTTATTGTGGTGTAATTCACATATCACACAATTCACTCATTTAAATTGTCCAATTCACTGGTTTTTAGTATGTTCACAGAATTGTGCAATTATCACCACAATCAATTTTAGAGCATTTTTTGTCTTCCCCAAAAGAAATCTGTACCCTCTAGCAGTCACTTCTCATCCCCTCCACCCTCCCAGCCCTTGGTAGCCACTAATTTACTTCCTGTCTCTATAGATTTGCTTGTTCTAGACATTCCATGTAAATGAAATCATATAGCATGAGGTCTTTTGTGACTGGCTTCTTTCATGTAGCATAATGATTTCAAGACTCATTCATGTGGTAGCATCTATCATTCCTTTTTTACAGTTGAATAATATTTCATTGTATGCATATAACACATTTCAGTTATTCATTCTTCAATTGATGGACATTTGGGTCATTTCTATTTTTGGCTATTTTGACTAATGCAGATATAAATATTCATATACAGGTTTTTATGTGGGCATTATGTTTTCATTTCTCTTGGATATATATACATACCTAGGAGTGGAATTGCTGGGACATACAATAACTCTTATGTTTAATATTTCGAGGACCTGATAAGTTGTTCTCCGAAGTATTTGAGCTATTTTACATTCCTGCCAGCATTTTATGAAGCTTCCCATTTCTCCACATCTTCGTCATCTCCTTTGTCTTTTTGATTCTAGCCATCCTAGGGGGGTGTGAAGTGATATCTCATTATGGTTTTGATTTGCGTTTCCCTGATGGTTGGTGAAACTGAGCATTTTTTTCAAGTGCTTATTGGCTATTTAGAAATCTTTCAAGAAATGTCTATTGAGATCCTGTACCCATTTTTAAATTGGGTTATTTGTCCTTTTATCACTGAGTTGTGACAGTTCTTTCTATAGTCTGGACACAAGTCCCTTATTAGATATATGATTTGCAAATATATTGGCCCATTCTGTGGAGTCCCCCCCCATTTTCTTGGTGGGATTGTTTGCATCACACAAATTTGCGATTTTGATGAAGTCTATTTAATCTATTATTTTCTTTCATTACTTGTGCCTTCAGTGTCATGTCTAAGATTTTGCTTAACCCAAGGCCATGAAGAGTTACTTCAGGGTTTTCTTTTATATTTTTTGTTTTAGCTCTTACATTTAAGTCTTCAATCCACTTTGAGTTAATTTTTGTGTATGGGTAAGGAAGGGGTCCAACTTCATTCTTTTGCAACTTTATTCTTACCCATAAAATATTTTCTTTCAAATAACACACTATAAATTCACCTTCTAAATGCTGCTCTTCTGGACTAAGCAAGAGAATGTGAAACCCAGTGACCACTTCTTTTTCACTCTCAGTTGGTGTATAATGTGAATATGGGTACATTTCTAAGACATATAACTTTGTTAAAGGGCTCCAGTTATTTCATCTGTGAAAAAAGAAAAAGGAATGCCCTAGGATAGTGATTCTCAACCATGGCTGCTCATTAGAATCGTTTAAGAGCTTCACAAAGTACCCGTGGCAGAGTGCCCTGCTCAGGTATTCTGATTGAATTGGTCTGTGATAGGGTCGGCCAGAGCACAGGGGTTTGTCCAAGTGTCTCGGGTGACTCTGCTGTGCAGCCAGGATCATAACCTCTGCTCCAGATGGTCTTTGAGGGCTTCCCAGGACTAGTACTCTGTGGTTCCGTGGCAGTTCTGAACGGCAGGACCCTGACAGAATGTGGTTATTTTAGCCCAGATGGGTTGTCTCCCCAAACACCATGCTGGAGAGCACTCCACGGGTAGCTGGTGGTGTCTTTGGGTTTGACAGGGAAGATATGCCCATCTCTTCCAAGAGCAGGTGGCAGTGTTCCTACCTGGTCCCTGACCCCTGAACTAGCCTTGAGGGGGCCTCTGAAACAGTGCAGACCAATGGCACTGTTCATAAGGCTGCTGCTCCAGCCACCTGGCTTCCACCAGCCACACTCCTTCTTACTTACTCTCGCCTTCACACCTGCAGTTCCCGCTGCCGAATGCTCTGGCCTTCCTCTCTTCTCTGCCTGAGTTCCTCCTGCTCTCTCCTCTGATCTCAGCTTAAACACACCCCCTCAAAGGTGCCTTTCTTCCTTCTCTCCTTTCCTTCGGACTCTCACCCCCTCATATATTTCCAGAGCAGGATATTCCTGGATCCCTGTAATGATCAATTATTAATTATGGGTGTAGTTGTTTTCCAGAGTGTCTTCCTCACTAGGTTGTAAGACAGGAACCATGTCTGCCTCAAAGGCCACTGTTGCTTTTGTTTTAAAATATATTTTTATTGATTTCAGAGAGGAAGGGAGAGGGAGAGAAAAATAAAAATATCAATGATGAGATAGAATCATTAATCAGCTGCCTCCTGCACGCCTCCTATTGGGGATTGAGCCCACAACCCAGGCATATTCCCTGACCAGGAATTGAGCATGACCTCCTGGTTGATAGGTCGGCGCTCAACCAGTGAGCCACACCAGCCAGGCTCAAAGGCCACTACCGTATCCCCAGTGCCTGGCACAGTGCCTGGCACATAGCTGTCACCCAGTAACAACTTCAGAATAAATAAATGATTCTGAAATGTCAAAAAAATTCTTAACTCTTCTCAGTGTCTTCTCTTTAAGAAGACAGAATGGCCCTCAGGGTACTAAAAGGGGTAAGTCTCTCCCATGTCCTAAGCTCTGCCTCCTTACCTCCTTCATCCTCTCCAATGCACCCCCATCTCTGTGCCCCAATATGCAGATAGTAGTAGTGGGGTCATGATTTCTCTTGGGGAAAGGAGCAGCAGTTATTGATTTGAAAAAAAAATCCAGATCTGGGATTCAGAGACAATCAGTTCACAATCCCCACAAGCCACAAAGTCTCTCCCACTTTTGTAAGCCCCTCCCTTCAAACAAGCTAATCCTGGTGATTTTCTCTTCCAGCTCCATTGCTGGAGCAGTTAACGCAGACTTCACCAGGAAAAACATGGACATGGATCTGAACCCCGGGAGTGGAGGCAGTGGGACTTGTTTATTTTCTGGACAAGGAGGGAAATGGTGGAGATCAGGGCAGGGATTCCTAGGCTGAGTTACAGAAAATTCTATGGGATCCGTGGGTGCATTGGAGGTGGGTCTAAGGGTACTCTGAAGCTGTGTGAGGATGTTGAGTTTATGTGCTGGGGCAGGGTCAGCTGTTTTCATCAGATTCTTAAAGAGGCCTGTGGTCTCCAAGAGGTTAAGGAAGCTGGCCAGCCTGATCTCTACAGAAGTCCCTCTGCTTCAGGCCTCTGAACTTTTGAAATAATATGTCGTCTCAAGAACCCCAGATGAGGCGATACGGGTGGTGGCTGATTCCTTGTGGCCACCTGATGGTGCTCAGGTGCATAGCATCCTTTGGGTAAGAGGAAGAACTGTGGGCCTACCTCCTGTCTGGACAAGTTCTAGGAACTTGGAAGGAGGTTCTGTGTCTGGATGCAGCTGCCTTCTTTCCCAAGGGAGTGAGCACAGTGCTGGTTCAAAGCTGGAAGGGAGGGACTGGCTGGTGGGATCCCCTCCTCTTTACCTACTTTGCACTTGACTTCCTCTGAGCCCCTGAGGGAGGCTGTGTGGGAGTCCAGAGTCCAGAACCAAGAGAGCCTGGGTCTGGTCTGTGTGGACGGTTTGCCAAGAGTGGCCTTGGGTGGGAGGGAGGTGTTTCTGGCTTAAGTGGGGATGGAAGGGCTGAGGAACCCTGGCCAGCCTGAGCGTTGTGTATCTCAGAGGGCGCTCTTGAGTCAACTTTTCCACCCAACTTCCATCCTGAGAGGCAGGCATTGTTTATGCCCAATTCACAGATGAGGAAACTGAGGCCCACAGAGGTGACATGACTTGCCTAAGACCACACAGCTAGCCAGTTGTAGAGGCTGTCACTCCCACAATTATGTTTCTTTATATAGGACTCTGCAAGCAGACAGAAGAGAAAGACTTCCCTGCTAATTGAAGAAACAAAAAATCATGTGTGAACTGACTGTGGAGAGGGCCACATGGCCAGGAACTGGGAAACCTCTGGATGCTGAGAGAGAGCAGGAAAATGGGGACCTCAGACCCATAGCTGTAAGATGAACCCTGTTGACAACCTAAAGGAGCCCGGAAGCAGATTCCCCCCCAGCTAAGCATCTGATCAGACTGCAGCCCTGCAGACACCTGGATTGCAGCCTTGTGGGAACCTGCGCATAGGCACGGAAGCTGTGTGTCCCTGAACTCCTGGCCCATGGAAATTGTGAGGTAATAAATGGGTATTATTTTAAGTTGCTATGTTTGTGGTAATTTGTTAAACAGCAACAGAAAATGAATACATTTAATGGGATTTTTAAAAATGTTTTAGTTAAATTTGCTGGTAAAGCCACTTGACCCTGAGGCTTCCTTCATGTGAAGGTTTTAAATGATAGATTTAATTACAACAGTTACAGGACTACCGGGATTTCCTGTTTCTTCCTGCATCAGTTTTAGTAGTTGCATGCCACTAGGAATTTGTTCATTTCCTCTAAACTTTAAAATATATTGGCACAAAATTGTTTATATTAATTCTCCTGATCTTTTTACTATGGGTAGGATCTGTGGTGATGACCCTCTCTTCTTTCCTTAGACTGATTATTTGCTCCTTCTCTCCTTGCTCTTCACTAGTCTCACCCAAGGGTTATCAACTTAGCTTTTATTTTTAAAGAACCAATTTTTAGCTTTATCATCTACTATGTTTTCCATTAAATTAATATATTCTCTTTTATTATTAAACTCTAAATCTTGTTCGGGGGGGTGGGGTGCAGGCGGTTTCTTTGTTATTTCTTTTCTAAATTCTTGACATGGATTTTTTTTAACCTTTTCTTTTATTTTTGGAATATAGGCATTTAAGCCTATTAAATTTTCCTCTGGTGTTTTAGCAGCATCCAATAAGGTCTAGTGTTTAGCATTTTATTAACACCAAGTTTCAAATATTACCAAATTTCCATTGTAATTATTTTCTTTGACTCATGGGTGTTTTAGAAATGGATTTCTTTAATTTCCATGTACATGGGGACTTTTCTGTTATATTTGTATTATTAATTCCTAACTTAATTTAATTGTGGTTAGGAACATGCTTGGCATAACTTGGTCTTATTTTAAAAATTGAGGTATAATTTACATACACCAAATTATACAGCTTTCAGTGTAGTTTGACGAGTTGGGCAAAAGCCTACACCCATATGACTGGTAATTCAATGAACATATGAAACATTTACATCTCTTCAGGGCCTTCTTCCAATCAGTCCACTTCCATCCTCTCCTCTTCTGCTCAAGGAAACTACTGTTTTAGTATCTGTCACCTGTGCTTAATTTTATCTGTTCTATAATCTCTATATATAAAAAGCCAGCGACCATAACACTGTAATGACGGTAAAGACTGGTCGCTATGACACCCACTGTGGCCAGCCAAACGACCTAATCAGGGGGTGGGGCCGGCTGGCCAAATGCCCCCGCTTCCCTCCCTCTGGCTAGCCCCACCATGATAGGCCCGCAGCCCCTCCCCCTGGCCAGCCCCGCCCCTGATCACACCCCCTACCCCAATAGGGGGTGGGGCTTGCTGGCCAACCTCCTGCAGCCCCTCCCCCCAGCCGGCTCCATCCCTGATTGCCCCCACCACCCCAATAGGGGGAAGGGCTGGCCAGCCAACCTCCTGCAGTCCCTCCTCCTGCCTGGCCCCACCCCAGATCAGCCCCTCCCCCCAGCCAACTCCACTCTCCATCGGAACCCCCACTCCGATCAGAGGCAGGGCCCTCCGGCCAACCACCCATGGCCCCTCCCCCAGGCTGCTGCCTCCCAATCGCCCCCCCCAACCCCATTTGGGGGTGGGGCTGGCTGGCCCACTGCCCAAAGTCCCTCCCCATGGCTGGCCCTACCCCCAATCAGCCCCCAACACCCCAATCAGCTCGTGGCCCCTCTCCATAGCCAGCTCCACCCCTGATCATCCCCCCCACCCCATTCTGGGACTGGGCCGCTGGCCCACCACCCACAGCCCCTCCCAATTGGGGCCAATCGCCCACGGCCCTTCCCCAACTGGCCCAGCCCTGATCGGGACCCGATCGGGGTGGGCCGGCCAGCCAACCTCCTGCTGTCTCCTCCCAACAGGCCTGGCTCCAATTGGGGCCAGGCCGGCCAGACCCCACCCATACATGAATTCGTGCACTGGGCCTCTAGTGCTATATAATAAAAGGCTAATGTGCAAATAGACCGAATGGTAGAACAACCGAATAACCGAAAAACTGGTTGCTATGATGTGTGCTGACCACCAGGGGACGTGTGTGGCATATGGTGGGCTTTGGCCACGACAGGATGGTGGAGCAGGTGAGCAGGGACTTCAGACCAAGGCAGGGCACTGGTCACTGCCGTCCAGACGAGACTCTGGTCGTTACCTCCTCCTCCTCTCCAAAAACCTCCTCTCCAAAAACCTCCAAAAAGCGCTCTCTGCTCTCCTCCTGTCCAAAAAGCGCTCTCTGCCCTCCTCCTGTCCAAAAGCACTCTCTGCCCTCCTCCTGTCCAAAAGCTCTCTGCCCTCCTCCTGTCCAAAAGCACTCTCTGCCCTCCTCCTGTCCAAAAGCTCTCTGCTCTCCTCCTGTCCAAAAAGCGCTCTCTGCCCTCCTCCTGTCCAAAAACACTCTCTGCCCTCCTCCTGTCCAAAAAGCTCTCTCTACCCTCCTCATGTCCTATTCCTCTGACCTCATCCTCTTAGATTTCTTCTCCGCAAAGCCAATTTAACAGTTGTATCTCAGACTCAGGCTCAAAAAACTCTCGGATGAGTTGTCACATCTGTATACTACTCTCACCTCACCCTAGCATAACCACGTGTACATGTTTATTTACATTAAAAGATGGTGAGAACATCAAGATAGAATATTGGGAGAGAGATGGGTATATTGACTACTTATTATCTCATCCTAATCTCTAATTTATTATTGCAGTTCTTCCAGAACACTAGTATTTTGCTGTGCTTTTCTCTGAAGTTTTCCCTGCCCCTTTACTTCACCATTGACTGCACCCACTCTACAGGGACTGTAATGTGTTAAAAGCACAGTGTAACTAATAGAAATAAAGAGTGCACCGGTCCTGATCACTCATTGCCGTCAGCGGGTGCAAGCGGTGGCTGCTGGCCCTAATCGCCCCTCAGGGCTTCTCCACCTCCCCCTGCTCCTGAGGGGTGATTGGGGCAGCAGCTGCCACTTGCACCCGCTGACAGCACCAGCCCCACTTGCACCTGCACCTGCCCCAATTGCTCTGCTGTCAGTGGGTGCGAGTGGAGCTGGTGGCATCAGTGCATGGGAGTGGCTGCGGCGGGAGCAGGGCTGCCGGCAGACAGGGGACTGGGGGCCGTGGTGGGAGGGACCATGTGGGGGCGTGGAGGATGGGCCGAGACCTGTCCCTGTGCCCACCGCAGCCTCGCAGCCCACAGTTCCTTTCAAGGTGCACGAATTCGTGCACTGGGCCCCTAGTTTTATATAAATGATACCATACCATAGACATTCTCCTGCATCTGGCTTCTTTCACACAACATAACAGTTTTGAGATTTATCCATGCTATATGTGTTTATTTCTTTTTTATTTCTGAGTAGTATTTCATTGTATGACTATACAACATTTTTTCTTTCTTTTAAAAAAATGTTTGTATTGATTTTAGAGAGAGAGGAAAGGAGAGGGAGGTAGAGAGAGAGAGAGAGAGAGAGAGAAACATTGATGAGAGAAACATCTCTCCTTTGACGAACATTTAGATTGTTTCTAGTTTTTGGCTACTATGCATAACCAAGCAAAGTATAAAGTCAGCATATAAGAGAAAGTCCCATCAAAGAACTTATCACTTAACTTGGGGGCAGGCACAGTTGTTAGCAGGGTATATTAAAAGTATGCAATATAGGTTCTGAGTGTACTTCACTTTCTAGATGGAGACCTTGAGAGCTGACATAGTTGTGAAAGGGCTTGTGTGCTGTTGCCAGGTCTAAGAGGAAGGACCCTACAATAAATTACCTTCTTAAAAGTTTTAATAATTCATTCACCCACTCCACAAATATGTTTGAACATTTCTCTATCGAGGCATTGAGTGTTGCGCTGGCCCCATTGGTGAACGAGATGGACTGGACTCTGCTCACATGAACCTTACATTCCAGGTACTCCAGGTTCTGGAGGGAGCACAGTAGGGGAGGGGCGGCCTTGTGGAGGAGCCGCCTGGGAGAAATGAGATGGGGCCTGTGACCGATGATGGTCTGCCATCTGATTCCCCCCAAACACTTGGCCCTTTCCCCGTGGGGTAGGGGGAGGGACCCTGGACATTCTTCCTGCTGCGATCACAGTAGTAACAGATGCCTCACCTTTGCCTTCCGTGTTTGGTATGGAGATTGGGGTGGGGATCAGAGGGTGGTGGGAGGAAGTTACCACCTCTTCTCTCTGTGACATAAGCCAGATTACAATTTTGAGGTGACAACTGTATCTTTTCTTCTCTGAATCCTCAAAGCCTGGTGAAAGCATAGTACACATTAATCACTAATGCTACCCCAAGGATTATCTGCTTGAGTCCTCTACCTTCAGGTACTTGTCTTCGTCTAAAGAGGGTTATTGACTTGCTCATGGTCACAGGCCCTACATTTTCTCAGGGCCGTACTCAGTTCTTTACCAAGTCTGTTAAGCTCTCTGGTCATAATTTCAATTCATTTGGGTTGACCTTTTGTTGATTTATTACAGCACTTAGCTCGAATTAATCATTTTATTATCCCAATAATAATAGCATCCATTTAAAAATTAGTTACTGTCTGCCAAGCACTGTGCTAAGTGTTTTAAAAAAGGTGTTTTTAATCTTCACCCGAGGATATGTTGTTGTTTTTTTTTAATTTCAGAGAGAGAGAGAGAGAGAGAGAGAGAGAGAGAGAGAGAGAGAGAGAGAGATGTAGGAGAGAAACATCAATTGATTGCCTCCTGTATGCACCCTGGGGATTGAACCCACAACCTTTTGGTGTATAGGATGATGCTCCAACCAACTGAGCCACCCAGCCAGGGCTGTGCTAAGTGTTTTAATGTTTCAACTCAGTTCATTTTCAAAGCAACCCTTTGAGAGAGGTACTTACTTTTATTATTCACATGTTACAAAAGAGGACATTGGTGTTTACAGAGGTTAAATAATATGCCCAGAGTAGCACAGCTAGTAAATGCTGGGGCCAGGATTTGAACCCTAGGTGGTCTGACTCAGAACCTCATGCTCAA